CAGAACACTGCCCTTGTCACACCCTTCAACCTCCAAATTTTCGTGTTACGGCCAGCCACACTATTCTTGCCCCTGCCCGCCCGCCAAACCACCGTTGCTCTCATACCTAGACATCGCATGCAAGAAACCAACCTGGCAACAACGAGGGGTCAATGGAAGTGACGACATCTTTTTCTGGAACTGGGGAAAGAGACCTAGATAGCCTGTTTGTCGGCTTATGCGGATAATGAAACAGTGGAGAGCTTGGGAAATCCGCTGCATTCAACTTCTCTCGCATGCTGCATTTGTGCGCATGTTGACGCCATCACAACTTTGGAAAATGTGCCCCAACCCTTTTTGCCCATGACGTAAGTACCTAGCCTGCATGTGCAATTCAACTCACCTAGGTACAGCACATTTGCGGGTATGGTGTCTCTTCCTTTCGGAACTTTGTCCCATGTTCTTTAGGCCGGGCCGTTGGAGGGCCGGTGGTTTCGAGATGAGGGCTCGGTTGGGTTGGCGACAATTGTTAGCAGTCGCGTCTCGGCGGGTTGACAGTCTAGCGACCGGTATCGCGACTGCCTTTTCTGCGTGATGCAAGACGGATGGAACCATGCGCACTTTCCCTCTCTCGACTTCTGTTATGAGCACTCGGGCCGATGCCGGGCAGGAATCGCTAGAACTTTGGTGAAGGCAGCGACTTCTGTCACAATCGAGTGTTCATGAAAACCATGAACCAAACATCCTACGGACAGCATCTTACACATTGAAGCGTCTTCATTATGCCTTCCGATAAAATCCTGAGTCGTTTTCAAAAGCTGAGTGTCCCTGTTTGACTCTACACAAAGATCTTTTCGTTTCCTTGTGAGCCCTTAAACTGTTTCGCGACAGCCTCTATGGGTCCAATAGAAGCGTGTTGAACTGCCCAAAATATTCGGGTTATTATTTCGACTGCTTGATTGCTTCTGCCATGTATCTACCGATACTCCCTTCCAATCTAGGTTTCCATGCCAACATTACTTCTGACTTTCCATCTCCTTGAGCTTGTTATCACAAAAGCAACCGCCAACACTTACTACTCGCCCCTTTTCAAACGACATCAGGAATGGGTTAGGGCCAAGCGGTCATTTCCTAACCACAACCATCGCAACTACCGCAAGGAATGGAAAGATTGAAAGGGTGGACCGTAACTGACATATTCAAAAGCGACCATGGCTATTTTGGATGGGCGACACTGGCAGCGGTCACATTTTCCTCCCCGCGTCGCCTCGTTTTCTACCTTTGACAACTGAGTTCCTAATAACTGAGTCTGGGCAAGTGCGCAGTCAGTTCATTCGATACGACCCCCCAAGAGCTTGGACTCATGCTGAAGCTCTGCTTCCACCTCTTGTTACCCACCAATCCCCTTTCTATTGTTTTTCTTTCAGGCGGTCATTCCTGGATCTTGCCCGGAAATACCGGGATGACTGGAAGGTTGGAAGGCTAGCATGGGGAACTGAGAGGCTACAAGGCTGGAATTTGAGAGGCTACAAGGCTGGAATGATAGAGGAGGGGGCCGTGACTGACAAACCGAGGGGAAGAGTTAGAAGGCTGGGGAAGGCAAGGTCCCGACTCTCCACCCTTATCTCCTGGAAAGTCCATGGAGTTCTTACCAAATAGAATCTACCATGTATCTGGAGCAGAAAGTCATGATCTTCAACTCCAGTGGCCTTGCTCCTACCACGCTTCCTTCACACGTGTCTCCCATGTGTCCTTTTTCTTGAGGGCAAGAACAAAGCTCAGTGAGTGATGGCCGACAACCTACCTAGGTTGTCGGTTGGCACAGATTACCGTGGCTCTTTTCATTCCATCTGAGGTGTTCCTTTCATCGCAAATGCAATGCTTCTTTCCATCCCAAATCCTGCGTCGTTTTTGGGCCTAATGTACGATGAAATTTGATCCTAACCTACTCCTGCTTCTTTCACAATGAAGGTGGGAAATATCGGACTGCTTTTCTTCGGTACCTCTAAACACCAACAAGGCCAGAATAGGTGGGCAAGCTTGAAAAATGTGCGCAGCTCTCCCTGACCATGTTTTAATGTATCCCGCAAAGAGTAGGAGCATGTAGCCAGTCCTTCCAGCCAGCCTCCAGCCTTCCCGTCCTCCCATTCCAGCCTTCCAGTCTGGTCCTCCCGGTGAGCTCCTGACACTGCAGCTGTTGCTGTCCTCCCCTTCCAATATCCCCATCCTCCCCTTCTGCACTTCCGGTTCTCACCTTCCGAGCCCCTTGGCCTTCGAGTCTTTCCCCTTCAAACCTCGTATCAGTTCTCCCCTTCCCTTCCAGCCTTCCAGTCCCATTCAACACTTCCTTCTCCCTGAACTCGTCCAGTTCTCTTCCTTCTGTTTTTCAGTGAGCAACGTGACGCCATAGTTATCTTTCCTCCGTACCTACAGTAGAAGGTAGGTACCGACTTGCTAGTGATGTCCGTGGCTTGCTAACTCTTGGTTGCTCACAGGACTGACCTTCCAGAGGCAATCGGGTTAGGGTTATTTGTCTTTCCAAAACTCGACAAGCCCGTTCTCCAAATGACACCGTTAGGCCAGTCCACACCCTATTTGATTTGGCGCATTTTCTAGCTGCAAAAATGACTCCGAAACACGTTTCGACCAATTCAGACGATCCTGGGACCTTTATCAGTTTTGATGCTGGTTTGTCGTTCGGGATCTCCTCTGTGTGACGGCGGGGTAATGGCTCAACTTCCCCAGTCGGCTGGTCCAGAGTGCACACGCTGCCAGCCCATCATTCAGTTCAGAGGATGCCAGCAACACAACAGACTCCGAAGTACACGTCTACTGCTGACTTTGGATGCAACTGCAGTCTTCTTAATCTGCAGTGCTGCAGGGGTAGAGAACCCGAGTTGCTGCAGGCGTCAAGCAGGGTGGATTCCCATTGGGCCACCCGTCACTCACTGACGGTTACCGTGCCCGACTGGGCTCGTAGTCCCGAGTGTGGTCAAGAATCCAGGCAATGAGAATATTCGCACCATTGAACTGATAAGTCCGGACTTCCACAGCTGTTACGACTCTCCAGAAACGGGATTCGGGGAAGATAAGAACGGCATGGCGAGGAGAAGTTATTTGGGAATTGGGCCCCGCAGTGTGCAGGAGGCGAGTATCCAATGGTCTGATGGGCGCACCCCAGAATGCCAAAACCCAGCGGTCTGTCACGGAGCATCACAGCGTACTTTTGCGCACACCATAGTGAATAGGATGGAAAAGACTGTATGCAGCGTTGTTCCCATACGATACTCCTCACCTGGGTCTATAAAGCGCCCCAATGCCCATAACACAACTTGAACCATCTTCATTTCTTCGAGTTCCGCTTACCTGTTTCCCTCAACATCCGTATCCACACTTGCCTTTCTTGTTCTCAAAGTCGCTACCATGGATTCTAGCAGCGCCCAGAGTCCCAAGGCAACATCATCACTAGCTGCTGCCCTCGCGCCCGTGCTCAACGCCGAGGCAGCGGCTGCGGCTGGTATTCTTCCTGCATCGCATTGGGCTGATCAGCCGGTAAGTTCGACCGTTCCTGTTACTGAGAACTCAACTAACCCAGTCTTTCATCTTTTTGCAGCTCCCTGAGGAACATCCAGACGATGATACAGCTTCTACGATTGGATCGGTCGCCTCAAGCAGCGCCTCCTTGAGTAGCACCATTTTCTAATACCGTACCCACCATGGCAGAACCTACCACGGCGATATCGGTAATGCTGAGGGCTGGGAGCCCAACGATAAGCGTCACCTCGAGTCCATGGATATTGCATATGTGCGGACTTTCATAATCCCGAACCCCAAGAGTTGCAATCATAGTGCAGACACTGACGG